AACAACGAGACAACCAAACCGGTCGATGCAACTTTCAGAGTTTCTTTCTTATAAAAAATTAATTTCTGTCTCTGATCTACAAGAGTACAATTGTATAGGTCTACTCATTTTAATTATTATCATTCAAAGTATAATGATTTACGTGCAGAATATTTCAATACATTTCAGAGACCGGTTGTTAATAAACATTTATTCTCCCTCCCGTTGATTGTTAAACTCTACAGTTTAAGTAGAAATGAATCTATCTTCGTCAATTGTTATATGTATATTTTAAAAAAATCTATTTGAAAAATATCGTTTAAGGAATATATTATTACGTAATACATGTACAAATAGGAAGAGGACGACAAGTTCGTCGCTCCTCCAACGTCGCCTGTAGAGAGTTTCAAATACGCTCCTTTGACTAAATTTCGGAAATACTGTCCTTTCATACCTCCGCTTGACGCCGACTATAATAATCCATCTCCATTGCACGACAATTCCAACGTCGTCGTATCGAGCCCTGTGGAATCGCGCGTCTGTACGAGGAATCCCATTAGCCGTAAAGAGGTAAATGCAATAAATATCGTCACATAGTAATGCGGAAGATAGTTCGGAATTTCTTCCTAAGAGCGAGGCAATTGTCCCCAGCTGCATTCCTCATGCGATTGTTACAGCGTAGGCGAGATTTCTCACTGTTTCTTTTACCGCGTGTGTCTTAAAACGTAAAACAGAGGTGGCTAACTGGCTGCCCTTGCCCCCACTTTCCTGATCGCTAGCGCTACCCCCTCCACTACCTCTTGCCTGATGGGCAGCAGACCGAGAGAGTGGGGCGAGGAAATTCCAGTGTAGTGGAGGGGGTAACACTAGCAATCAGGCAAGCTTTCGAATAGAGAGAGTATCGAGTCGCGTGCAGGTATAGTGAGAGCTTAACCTCTTGCGCTGGCAACGAGCGACCAAACTGTATACAATAATTCGCCGCTTTCTTTTTGAATTCGTCGGTACGATATCACTGGATAGAAATTATTACTAAAAAATAATAAATTTATTAAATATGTTTTGTCTTTGTATCTAAAACTGAGAAAATATTGCAATTTTGAGACAAAAACTTCTCGGCGTGCATGGCAAGATGTTAATATCGGAATAAATCCGTATTTGTATTATTTATTTTACTTATTTGGACTTCTGTTCAGTTTTCCTTCATTCGGGTTGCTTTAAATTACGAAACTTTATGTTTATTTCAAATCACTTGTTCGTGTTGTTTTTACCCACGATAAACACTAATAATTGTACCTGTTGTTGCAGGTTGCTACGCTCGATATCCACGATTCGTCGACAACCGGGCATCGCGAGAAAGAGAAATTAGAATTCACGGGAGGCTGTTGCGCAACGAAGTTCTACTCGAACGGATCTACCATCTGCTACCAAGGCAGCATCGTTGATGTGAACGAGGTACGGCGTAAGAGATACGTATGAAAATACTGAAATCAAATGCCGTAGGATCGATTTCATCGCACTT